GATATTTTTTATTTATAAAAACATTTGTCAGCTGGGCATGGTGGCATACACTTGTAATCCCAGCTGCTTGGGAGGCTCGGGCAGGAGGATCACTTGAGCCAATGAGTTCAGGGTCAGTCTGGGTAGAATAACAAGACCCAATCTTAAAAATAAACAAGTGCGGGGCTGGGGATTTAGCTCAGCAGCAAAGTGCCTGCCTGTCAAGCGCAAGGTTGTGAGTTTGGTTCCTGGTACCGGAGAAAAACCAAAAAAAATAAAAAAATAAACAAGTGCTTGTGTCAGAAATACGTTTTAAAAATTTTAACCATAAATTATTTTACCAATTGAAACAGTAATACTTCATATGGAAAAGGTTATTAATGTATAGTATTTTATGATTTTAAAAATGTTTAGATTTTAAGTGCTTGCATTGAATTTTGTCCAAATACCTCTATTCATCTGAGTTTCCCAAACACAAAAATTTGCATGTATTTTTATATAATACTAAGAATATACGAAATGTAAAATTTACTTATTGGTACTGGGACTCAAACTCAGGACCTTGTGCTTGCCAGGCAGGTGCTGTACCACTGAGCTGTATGCATGGCCCCATAATGTGAAATTTAAATGACCAGAGATACTTCGGTGTTTTCCCTGCACCCCCACATTGCAGATCAAACCCAGAGCCCATGGCCCGCTAGGAAGGTACTGTACCACTGAGCAGCTTTCCCAGCTTTTCATTCTATTTTGAGGCAGGGTCTCACAAAGTTGTCCATGTTGGCCTTGAACTTGTGATCTTCCTGCCTCAGCCTCCCAAATAGCTGAGATCACAGGTATACATCACCATACCTGGTTCTTTCTGAAGTATTTGTAAAATTAATTGAAATAAAGTCAGCATACATATATTAAACTTTCAGGCAATGTCAGTAATGTGAGTTCCCCAAAATGCTCCTTGATAACAAAGCTCATCTGATACTATAATTGTATGTAATATCAACCTAACACAGTCAATGCTATGAAATTCACATAGGAAAATACCGTTTAAGAATTTGGCTGCCAGGTATGGTAGCACACACCTATAATCCCAGCACTCAGGAAGTTGAGGCAGGAGGATCACTGCGAGTGCGAGGCCAGCTTGGGCTACAGAGTGAGTTCAAGGCCTTCCTGAACTGCACAGCAAGACCCTGTCTCAAAAAGACGGAAAAAGAAAAAAATAATTTGGTTTACAGTATTTTAAGTTGAAAGTAGACAACACTGCCGGATATTTGCCCTTTCAACATCTGATATATATGTCATATATATCATATATGAGATATATATGAAGCTTACTGTTGAAATTCCTTTAGGAGATTGAATGATAAGAAAGGGGTGTGGACCAAATCACATTGCATGTTTATCATGAAACATACTGTAGTTCTGAGTCAGTTGTCTTTGCAGGTAATGTCTGTATTTTCTATAGTTACTTTTAGGATTTTTTTTTAATCTTCCGTTTTCAGCAGTATTACTATGCTGTACCTGGGCATGATTTTCTTTATTTTCTACTTGTATGTTCCTCAAAGTTCTTGAATCTGTGGTTTGATGTCTTTGATCAGTTTTGGGAAATTCCAAGCAATTATCTCTTCATCTACTTTCTTCTGGCCCTAGGCTTTGTCCCCTGGGATTCCAGTCACATGAATAATAGACTGTTTCACCGCATCTCACATGCCTGCTGTGCTCTTCTGTGCTCATGGTGCATATTTCTGACTGACCAATCTCATTTTCCCAAGCTTCTTTTTTGCCACGGCCAATCTAAATACATCATCATCTCAGTTATTTTTTTTTTTCACTTAAATTTTTGTTTGACTTATTTTATGGTTCTCCGTTATCTGCTGATTTTTTATTTTGTTTTCTACTTTTTAAAAATGTTAAAATGTTAAAATTTTAAAAAGTTAGTGCTCACTTAACCCTTTGCAAATCTGCCTTTGTCTTTTTTTTCTTTCTTTTTTTGTGGGTTTTGGGCTTCTGACATGTTGAATAGTGTCCTTTGAAATATACAATGTACTGGAAATAATCCCAAGCCTGGTTGATTTTTTTTTTTCCCCTTTAGGAAAGGTTTATGATCCCCCACAGCAGCGTCTGTTTTCTTCTCATCCATCAGAACGGTACCATACAGTTTACTTAGCCACCATCCTGGCCTCAGGGGAGGCTAGACCTCAAAACTTCTTCCCCTCCAAAGGGGGAAAAAAAAGGACCTTTTTTTTGTTGTTTTAAAAAAAGGACTTCTTTTGGTACAACTCACATCTATAAAATGATGTCGGATATAAGGAGAACTGAATTCTTGGTACCGGAAGGAAAACAAACAAACAAACAAAAAAACAAATAAAGAGAACTGAAATTTTGAGTGAAAATAGGAAGACTGAGTTTTTCTCAAATGTTCACAGATTTGCTTGTGAGACGCTAAAAAACAGTACCAAATAATTTTTGTTTGTTTCGTTTTTTTTTTTTCTGATACAAGGAATCGAACTCATGACGTTGCATTTGCCAGGCAGGCGCTGTGCCACTGAGCTAAATCCCCAGCCCCTGTGCCAAATAATTTTATTTTATTTTTATTTATTTATTTATTTATTTTGGTTTTTCTCCGGTATCGGGAACCGAACTCACGACCTTGCGCATGCCAGGCAGGCGCTTTTGCCGCTGAGCTAAACCCCCAGCCCCTGTGCCAAATAATTTTAAACTTCCATTCATTTTTCTTTTCTAAAAGCAATACAGTAGTAGACACTTTGAAAATAATAGCAGTATTGGTAGTAATGCTTTGAAATTCTAAAGCAAAAAGGGAAATCTTCTCAAATTCTACCAAATGTAACTTCATTATTTGGGTAGATGATCTTGTATTGTGTGTATGTGTGTTTTGTTTTACAAATTGACATTATACATCCTATTTTGTAACTTGTTTATTTACTAAGTATCATACTTCCATATTAAAACGTGCAGTGAGGTAGTGTTTTATAGGATAGACGTTATAATTTCTTTAGCTCACAAGCCCTTTAATTTTAGTGTTCCACCCTAGTGGCAAGTGTTCTGTGTGTGTCTGTGCTGTCCCCATTCTTTTCTTGGCCAACTTAATGCACATTTGTGTTATTACTGACTTACTACCAAAGGAATGTTTTGTTTACAGTCAGTGAGAGCAGTGAATGTATTAGGTAGGCTCTGACTCAGTGATAATGATTTCTGTAGAATCCCATTAGAGACCTTCTTTTTTCCCTTGAGACTTGACAGCACTATGACTTTGTTGTAAATGAAGTGATGATACTTTTCTCTTTTCTACTCTACTTTAATGGTTTTTACTATTTTAGAAATAGAATAGATCCTAGACATTTCCCGAGAGACAGTTGAGAGTGCTTTGTTAACACAGTTTCTATGATAAAATGCATCTTAAAATAGTAAAACTGCTTTGAGATGTACATGTTCGTGCCGTTGGCCAAGTTCCCTTGCTAGCCAAGTAATGCACACGTGCTGGAATGACAGCAAACGTGACTTAAGATTATAGTTGAGTGATTTTACAAATTACTATGTGTCATGAACCTTCAAAGTCACTCTGGAACAGTAGAGTTTATGAATATTAAATGTAGGAATAACAGAAGATCTGTTTTATAAATTATATATAATTTTAAGAATATTCATGCCTAGATTTTTAGCAGAAGATTTACTCAATTTAGTTCCAGCTCCACCTAATTACTAATTTTACTACCACGGATAAACTTAACTCTCACATACAGACTTCTATATTAAGATCCATCAGTATTTATTGCTCCTCATTTACTATGTCTCTCAACCTGAACTTTGTAGCAGGTGGACCTTAGATTCATTCTTGTATGACAAGCTCTGATAAAATAGTGAGGGTAATTCAGGTTAGAACTTCTGAAAGAATGGCTGATGAGGTTGTTCTGAAGAGGAATAGTGACTAAATAATAAACTTTTCTACCTCTGATGAAATCACTCATACATCAGTCCCTGACATCACACCCCTGAAGTTTCCACTTGCACCGTGGGAATTTGTCTCGTCAGCTGGGTGGAGGTAATCTAGTATGAATTTTTAACCAGTTTAGAATTGCTCACCAGTAGAAAGGAAGAGATAACGAGGTCTAGACTGCATTGTTCCTAAACATTTGTTTCTTGTGAAATTGACAACTTGAATTGCTTTAAACTTTTTTTTTAAATCCACCTATTAATGGCAATTTAACAAAATACTCCTTTATTTTATTCCCAACTCTCCATTACTGGATAGACCCTCCATTACATTACAAGAGGTACTCTTGGCCTTATGTTATTATTTTTGTTTATCATCTTTCCATACTAGCTTGTATGCTTCTGATAAGTAGTGACTGTGACTTAGACATCTGTAGGTTCCTACAAACTCCTCAGGGCCTCTTAAAACATACTAAATATCACATAAATTTTGACTAGTTGATAAAAATATTGACAAATTGGATCTTAAAGGCTTAATTTAATTTTATTGTTTAATTTGTATAATTTCTTTGCTTTTAAATGATACTGCCTCTATCCTTATTGCTGGTTTGTCTTTTCTAAAAAGAGTCTTATAGATTATAATTAAATTTTATTATTGGGGCTGAGAATTTAGCTCAGTGGCACAGCGCCTGCCTGGCAAGCGTAAGGTCGTGAGTTCAATTCCCGGTACCGGAAAAAAACAAACAAATAAATAAATAAATTTTATTTAAAATTTTCTAAACATGTGTTAATTTTTCTTTTTAATCTGTAATTGAGGTATGTAAGTTTTTCAAGCCAAGCATGACATTCTTTAATTTGAATACCACGTTTGATACAGGAATTTGACTGTTTTCTGGTCTTTCAGAACTTTGATCTAATTATTGATTGTTGGTCATTTAGCAAGGACTTATTATGGGTAAAGCCGTGTTCAAGTGGTCAGTGGACAATTAAATATGGTACCATTTTTAAAAATACATTTAATTAATATTTTCTCAGCAGAATAGACTACTCAGCCTGTAATTTCTTTGTTGTTGTAGGGTAAAGTTCACCTTGAATTAAAGCTGAATGAACTGATAACGGAGAATGGAACTGTGTGCCAGCAGCTCGTTGTACAGTAAGCGTATTTCCGTTACCAAAATTACTAGGAATGTGTTCTGTAACCAGTGCCTTATTTTAAATACTTCAGAAACTTAGTCCAGAAGTGAAACTCTGGGCTGGAGATGTAGCTCTGTGACAGAGTGCTTTCCCAGCTTGCACGTGTGCCGCCCTGGACTCCATTTCCGGTACCACAAAAAATATACAGAGAAAGAAAAGAAACCAAAAGTTGATAGCCAATTTATTTTTCTCATATCTAATCTAGACAGGTTATGGTGAGTAATAAACTTGTTTAACCAACTTTTATTGAATGTGGGCTGAATAATACACTTCATAGGCATTAGAATATCTGCCTGGCAGTGGAGACTTGGAAGGCTTTCCAGAGAAGGTTCACTAGGAACACAAAACAGAGCTTTAGAAATTGTAGAGCTGGAACTAAATGCTGCTTTGTGATTACCTGTATTGATTCCCACATACTTTGGATTCTTTTTTCCCTTTTGTGCACTTAGTTCATTTTTTATCACCTGCATGCTAATTTTCTGATTTCTGGAAGTCTCCTGTTTAAGCTGCGTCTCCTACTTCCTCTCTTCCCTCCAAATCCTTGCTTTGGATTATCAACACCTGAACAGATAACTTTCATCTTCGATACTTTCTCTGTCTTTGCCTCAGTTGATAACTGAGTATCTGCTGAGATTTTGAAGTAGTTATAGCCCTCTCAATGGAGGCTGTATTCTTCTGTCATACCCACATACCTCAAGCCAAAGGAGAATGAATATTGTTCTCCTACTGTTGCTCTAGATTCATTCCCCTAATTGTGAAAATCCCGTCTTTTAAGGCAGTTTCTCTGTATGTTAACATATACATATCTAATACTACAAATAATGTTACTTAATTTTTATGAAAACCTTGAAAGAAGTTATGTATATTATATCCTTTTTCCTTAATCAGTGTATATTACATAAGAACAAGGATGTTCTTTTTAACTCCAGTTTAATTACCAAATTCAGGAAGTTTAATCTCCCTTAACTTGAAATCGTTTTTAGCCTTTGTCTTTCATAGTATTGGCATTTTTTGAATGATATGGGCGAGGTACTATTTTATTTTCAATGTTTTTCTATTTAGTTTGCCTACAATAATTCAAGATTTGTTTGCAGCTCCTCTCGCCCCCCAGTCTGGGCTTGAGCTTATAATGAATTTATTTGGATTAGGCCTTCTTCCAGTATTCCTTCCCCTGCTTCTGTTGATTATGATACTCATTTGAAATAAGTTGCCCTGGTTTTGTGTACATTCCATTTTAGCTCTCTGTCATTGTTACTGGTTTAATTTTATTTTTGAATATGTATTCAAAACTAGCATGATTTCAAATTTAAAATTATACCACAGTGTATTACTCAAAGGTGTGATTCAGTTGCCTCTTCCCACATCCAGCTCTAGGCAGCCAGTCTGATTTCTGTCCTTTCAGTTTTTGCCTTTTCCAAAATGTCATTTGACCAGAATCATATGATACATAGTCTTTTGTGTCTGGCTTCACAGCAGAATAGTGCTTTTTAGACTCATCCATATTGTTGTGTATCAGTAGTTCATTCTCTTCTTACATATTTTTTTGGCCATAATTTGGTAGGTACTGTATTGTCATTTTATAAATGACAAAACTGGTTCACAGATTGGTTAAATTAGAAGTTTTGGACTCTGGACTTGAACTTTAGCAGCTTGTTTTTAAACTGCTTAATTTTTGAGATAATTTTAGATAATAAATATAGTACATTGAGGTATGGTGAACCCTTCAGTCAGCTTCCCACAATAGTTACATGACTACAGCCCAAAATCAGAACCAAGAAATTTACATTGGTACATTGTTTGTACACAGTTATGTATCACTTAGTACATATGTGGATTTGTATAGCCACTGCTACAGTCAGTATGCACAATCACCCTGTCACAGTAAAGATGCCCCACCCACTCCCGTTATAGTCGACTCCCTCTCTCCACTGTCATACTTAACTTGCGGTGGCCTCGCATTTGTCCTCATATCTATAATTTTGTCACTTCAAGAATGTTGCATGAATGGAATCTTAAAATACTTGACCTTTTCAGATTTCTTTCTCTTTTGTGTAGTTTTTTGCAGACAGTATATTTGAGTCACTTTTTAAAAATAATTTTTGCCCATCTCTGTCTTCTATTTGGTGACATTTTGCATTTACTTTTAATGCAGTTAGTGAGATGTGAAGGTTAAGCCTGCCATTTTACTGTTGTTTGCTGTGTATTCCCTGTTCTCTTGTTCCAGCAGGTTATTTGAGCATCTTTTTAGAATCCCATTCTATCTATATGTAGTATATAGGGTATCTCTTTGTGTAGATTTTTTTCAGTGGTTGCTTTAGGTATTATACATCCATAACTTATTTTTTATTTTGTTGTTAGTATATCTTTGCCATACATATTAATTAATTCATCCTGGGGACTGGGTACATATACTTACTGCAACTCGATCGTTTTTACTTCCCCTTCTTCCCTCTCTGATCTTCCCTTTCTGATCTTCCATCTCCCACTTTCCCTTCTCATCTCCACAAGATCTGTCTTCTTGTTTCCTACCATTTCTCTTTTATTTTGCTGTTTATTTGTATTTTGAGTTTTTCATATAAGAGAAACCATGAGATATTTATGTCTGTGTCTAGTTTGTTTCACTTAGCAGTGTGGTCTCAAGACCAATCCGTTTTCCTACAAATGACTCCAGTTTATCCTCATTTAGGGCTCACTAGTATTTCATTTTATATATGTGTTATATTTTCTTTATCCAGTCATCTGTTGATGGGCATATAGGCTTTTTATAACTTTTGTGAATTGTGCTGCCATAAATGTGGGTATGCATGTATCACTGTAATATGACCTTAACTCTTTGGGGAAGATACCCAGAAGAGATAGAGCTGGGTAAATGGAATTTTTATTTTTAGTTTCTTAAGGAATCTCTATATTGATTTCTATCAACAATGTAAAAGTATTCCTTTTCCTAAAACCTTATCAGCATTTGTTGTTTTGAGTCCTTGATACCCATTGTTACTGGTATAAGAGAATCTGTGTTGTTTTGATTTATATTTCTTTCATAGCCAAAAATGCTGAACAGTTTTTCATGCTCTTTTGCTATTTATATTTCTTTTTTTTGAACTAGGAATGAAACTCAGGACCTTACGCTTGCCAGGCAGGCACTTGTGCTGCTGAGCTATGTCCCCGGCCCTATACCTCCTCTTTGAGAAGTGTCTGTCCATTTCAGTTGCTCATATTTGATTGGGTCTTTTATTGGTGGGGAGTACTTCTTTATAAATATTCTAGGTACCAGTTCTCTGTCTGAGGAGTAGCTGGCAAAAATGTTCTCTCATTTTGTGTGTTGTCTCTTCGTTCTGTTGTTTTCATTTGCTGTGCATAAACTTTTAAATTTGATAAAATCGCTTGTGTTGATTCTTCATATTTTTGTGCCATTGAATGTCAGAAAATCCTTCCCTGTGCCTGTGTCCTTCAAGAGTTTTACCTATTTATTCTTCTAGCAGATTCAGTGATTCTGTTATCTCTTACATATTTCAATTTGATTTGGTACAGGGTGAGAGATGTGGATCTAGATTTGTTTTTGTGCATATAGATAACTAGTTTTCCCAGCATCATTTGTGAAAGAGGCTGTCTTTTCTCCACCTGTTTTTTTGGCCCCTTTGTCTAAAACCAGATGACTGAAGGTACATGGAGTTGTTCCTTATATCTTTAGTTCTATTCCAGTGGTCACTATGTCTATTTTTGTACCAACATTGTGCTGTTCTTGTTACTATAGCTTTGAAGTATAACTTAAAATCTAAAATTATAATGTGTCTTCTGCTTTGCTCTTTTTTCTTTCCTGCATTTATTGAGATATTACGATTTTTATCCTTACTTCTGTTTATTTGGAATATTTTTATTGATTTGCATGTGTTAAACCATGCTTGCATCCCTGGGAAGACACTGGCTTGGTCATGATATAACTAGGGCTTTTGTGATACCATTTTTATGTCTGAAGTGGAGGAGAGGGAGTTTGAGAGATCATTTGCAGGGATAGAGAAAAGGAAGAGAAGAATGGAAAATATAATTGGAGATTGTGGGAAGCTACCAGGAAGTCATAGCCAGTTGCCACTTTTATACCTGGTGTTATGTTTTTGGAACAGCACACAACAATGGAACGTAATAAAATTTTTTTTCTTTAAATTCTTGTTCCTTGAATTTCTCTGGTAACACATAAATTTCAAGCAGAAATTCAAAACATTGCAAGCTCTGGCATAAATGTGTTAATATGCTAATAGAAAGCTGGTGTTTGAATCCTCCTCTCTTAGTCACTTTCTCATCACTGGGACTGAATGCTTAACACCCACAAGTCAGAGGACAGGTTTACTTCGGCTCACATTCTCGATCCATGGCCCCTGACTCCCAGGTAGGAACGAGCAGTAGAAGGCCCTGGTGGAGGAAAGCTGCTGTAGTTGCGGTAGCCAGGAAGCAGAGCAGGGCGGCTGTGGGGAGGGAGATGCATCCTGCCCAGACGTGTCTCTAGGGGCCCACCTCCCCCTGCCCAGGCCCTGCCTCCTGACTGCAGCGTGAGCTGTGGATTCATCAGTGAATTAACCCCCATGATCCGTCACCTTCTGAAAATGGCCTCTGAACATGTGAGTGTTTGGAGGGATGTTCCAGATTCAAACCCTAACCTTTATACACAGTTCCGGTGAGGATCAACTTTACATGACCATGGAAGACACTACCTAAGCTAAATCATCAGTTAACTCTTATTTTCCATTTTGCATATATGAACACCTCGTATGTATATTAAATGAGAGGAAAAAAAAAAAAGAAGAACACACACACACAAAGACATAATACAGAGTCTCCACATTCCTGTTTATACTTAAATCTGAATTTGACCAGTATGCTCTTCTCCCTTAGGTCAGAAATGGCAAGACCTTGCCTTGAAGCAGCTGTGAAGGCTGGACTCCTGTCCTCCGTGCTTGTGGCTGGGAG